TTAGTTCTTTGAAAATGCATGTGGCACTTTAATGCCAGAGGAAATGGCCCTAACCCATTTAATTATTCAGAGTTTTATGTTCTTGGTGCACTCTGCGCCTGGTGTTCTCCGGTGGGATTAAGACTTAAAAACTTCAGAGCGCTGTGGAAACAAAGTTAAAAAGCTGGGGTTTCTGTTTTTTCGAGTTTTGTTTTTTTCGAGGCCCTATAAACGTGTCTTTGTCCAAAATGGACACAGGCGGTAGAGCATTTCCATGTGGCTTGTCCTTCTCACCGAGAGGCTCGGATGGATGAGGTGAAATAAGGCGATCGGAATGCGGAACCGGTGAGAAATGCAGCTGGTAAAGGAAGCGGCTCTGTAAGCAGACCCCACTATCTGACTCCATTATAAGCAGAGCAAACCACCAGACTCTGACCAGTGTTCACGCAAAACACGCCAGCACTTATGAATCAAAATGTAGGAATAAGAATAAAAAATGGGAACATTTAACGCAAACGAGGTATTCCCCTGCTTTTCTTTCTTTTAGTAAAGGTTGTTTTCCCAAAAAAAAGGTGAGGAAGTGAAAAAAATCGTATTTCACTTACTTTTCTGCGCGCTCACACCATGGAAAGTGGTCACCGCCGCAATAATAAGTCCGCAGAGCGCGCAAAGAGCGTTTAAAGCCATGATGTCTGCGGAGGGAAAGCTGCTCGCTGTCGGCCACACAATTCCCGAAAGTTCATCTGATTAACAGTCCGTGCTGGTTTTCAGCATGGAAAAGCGAGCATCAGAGTGAGTCATACGGAGGAGTCTGCGCCTTGTTTTAATAGCGCGCACACACCCACGCTAACAGCTCCACTCCTATGAGTCATTTCCTATGTACTGTACTGCTCGGATTCTCTGTGCGCACTCCCCGACTCACAGGAAACTCCAGTGCCATAAAGTGTGGCTGCATTTGTTTCAGTTCGAGTGAAAGTTTTTACCACCTCAGGTATGAGAGTTTCAATACATATATTTCATATTTTAAGGGCACACCCTACATTTATTTCTCCCCTTCTCTCTCTTTCTCCGAGACCCCGCGTAGTCTGGACTTAATAGTGTTCTCATTGTTATTACCACGCCTGTCGACGTCACCCCGTCCTCCCTGCCAAAAAACACAACTCTCTGGCATGAGTCTGGGTCCCATACACAGAAAAAGGGGGGAAACAGCAACCGAGGCAAAAACAGATGACACTCAGTAGAAGAAAGAAAAAGAAACACATCTATGTTTTTTAAAGACATTTGGAAATTCTGCTTAAACTTCAAGTAAGATGAGGTTTATCTGTGTCCACTCTTCAGCCCTCTGCTGAAACACAACAGCTCTGTGATGGTCTGGAGACTGCATTTGAATAGGAAGAGTCCCTGTTATTAATGCCTGGAGCTGGGTGTAGCCTGCTGCTGGAGCACAAATATGCAATAACAAAGCCAGTGGACGCACGCTCGGAGAGCCATCAGGCTGGCCTCCGTCACAGCATTATCTCATACATTAATAAAAACCACATCGGTTGATGCACACGGACATACACAAGTCTGTTGATTTATTCATGGCATCCATATGTATATACTCACATGAATTCAAACAGCCAGTGCCCAGGTATTCAAGTATCTAATTATTTTGGCGCAGTTGGAGCCAATTCTCAGGGAAGGCTGGGATAACACTTCCCAAATGCCCTATAAAGCCTCTTTTTCACATATTCACTCTACTTCTATGCAGCCTGGAAGTTTTTTTTTTTTTTATGTGTTTGTAACATGGTGCAAACTGCCTTTCCCACACAAGCTAACGTCAAACAGACGCTAACCAACCTCCCACTAAATAGCTCACATCATCAGATCAGAGAGAGAGAGGAAAAAAAGTCGTTTTCATTGGCTCAATTATGTTCGACGCATGTTGTTGCACAGATGTTTTTCTACTTGACTGTCACGGCTAACCTTTAGGAAAGCGGTCTAAAGAGGACCTGGAGCAGCACAGCCCACTAAGGACACCCATATGAGCCGACTTTCCACTGCAGTGATTTCATCGGTAATGAGGCACTATAAGCTGCAGATGTTGTGTCAAACTCTCAGGCAGGAACCATGGCAACAGGATGAACACACACAGAGGACCTTGCCCAAGGTGATCCAAACACTCCTGCATGTGCTGAGTGGGAGCCAAACTAGCTGATGTCTCTCAGGCATTGTTAATACTATAGCATAACTAAAGACGTAAGGCAGCTCTGGCTGTTTTACTTTATATATTAGAAACATATTTAGTTGTAACCATGCGAGCCTGGGGGCTGTAAAGAACGACTTCTTTTAATTTGTGAGTTTAAACTTCAGCTTCAATTGCTTTATGGGACCTCCAAAAATCCAGCAGGACTTAAACAATTCAAAGCAATATTTCAAGATGATCGAACACAGTTCACTGCAGTTCCAAGTTTTTAAAACGATACATTAAAAGATAAAAGAGAGAGAGAGACTGCAAAAGTGGGCCCGGTATGTGAAAAAGAGACCATTTTAACACAGTAAAGAACAGCAAAGACAGGAGAACAGTGCCGAGCAGCTCAACTTGCAAGAGAAAAATCACCGTGCACGAAAAAAAAAAACTGTTTATTGACTACAAAACAAACACTCTCAGTCCGATGTGTCACTAAAACCCTTTTCAGACATGCACTCATGAGCAGGCCTGCTTTCAGTCTGACTCAGCACCCTGATCACTTTTTCACAGCAGCAATCTCACTAATTTGGACCTAGCAACCTTGATCACTCACTAAAGTCTTATGAATTTACATTGCAAGTTGCTCAGCTCACTGCAATGCTTTTGACACCAACAGCATGTGCTTAAGAATGTTTTCTTTCCATTTAAAATAAGATTAAAAACACTCCTCCATGATGCTTTTCCCCCCCCATTCCCAATTCAGAAGAGTGATTGCTCTCGGAGTGGGCGTGATAGGGGTGGGAGGATTTTGTTATCATTTGCTGCAGCGCGTGCTGACTCAGAAACCCTGCTCTCGGTGACAGCGGGTAAGACAACTAAACGTTAGGGAAGTGTGGAGCGTACCGTGGCTCTCTGCGTCACTGTAAAGCCGTTAGGAGCGTTAAAAATAACCCGTGTTTGACTGACAGGATGTCGTGCATTTAATGTCTGAAAAGGGCTTTTCTGTTTGGTCACCAACTTAATGAAAAAAATAACCAAGATGGATTAAAACAAGTCCTTCCAAAGAGATTAAAAACAGGGGACACACTCATCTGTGATCCCAGAAATGTCTGCCTCTTTGAATAAATCTCCAGTTCCTTTATCACTTTTCTATTTATTTCTCTCCTTTGGTTCTGTCTACTATTTTCTGTAGTCACGCCTCGTTTTCTTCTTCTTCCAGAGTGACTTAAGTGATGTAGATGCGGTGGAAGTCGTTGGCTCCGAACGCACAGTTGCACTTGGGGCACTTCCTCTGTCGGGTGTCGTAACGCATCTTCAGACATTCGTAGCAGAAAACGTGGAAACACTTGGTGAGCACCGTCTCCTTGTCTCGGGTGTTACAACAGGGGCAACGCAGCTTGGCCTAAAGACAGACAAACACACATGTGTATGGGCCATATGTGAGCTCAGTCATTACCTAATTTTCCTGAGTAATATAACTACTACTCAAGGGTATAACAAACAAGTTTCATGTCCCTGAAGCACAGACAAATCACTGAATCACAGCCAATAAAGCAAATTCCAAAGCCGGAGCATTTGCATTAATTTTACTAGACAGTTATGTTTTATGTAGCTATCTAACTTCAGACTGTGCCTGGGAGCTATTGGTGTGTTTGTGTTCTCTGCACACAGCCTCCTCTTTCTCACCTTGTACTGATTGATCTCCTCCTGCAGAATCTCGTCTGCATCCGAGTACATCTCCACCTTCTTCTGTTTCTCCAGCTTCCTTCTGAGCCTGGACAGATCCTCCTGTAAGGACAGAATCCCCAAGATGTTAGACCTGCATCCTCCAATCAGAGCTTTAGGTTTGGAGTGACACTCGCAGTGCATGCATACCTGTGCTCGCTTCAGGTTGCTGCTCTCCCTCTCCCGGGCAGTGCGGTTCTCAGCCACAGAGACTTGGATCTCCTTCAGCTTGGCCTGCGTGTGCTCCAGCTGCACCTTCAAGTCCTCTGCCAGCTGTGCGGCCTCCACTGCCTGCAGCAAGGAAGGAAACAGGCGCACTCAATAAAAACACCTAACGATGACAACTTTCAGATGTAATGTGGCGGTGGTACAGTGAGCATTATGAGTTTTTAGGCTATTCTTCAACTCTGTTTCAATTACGTAAGCAGTCCCTTTATTGTGTTTTGGGACTCATTTTAATGTTATTGGTGACTGTTCTTATTTGTGGGCAAAAAAAACCAAAAACCCTTATACGCAACAAGATGACCTCAATAACTTTGTCTCAGTGTCTGCAGTGCTTCCCATCAGTTACCAGAAACATCGAAACCAAAACTACTTGGGGAAAAAAAAAAGGCAAATGTGGCCACAGGGACAAATTTCTGGGTCTAATATTTGAACTTTTTACATGCTTAAATGACAATGAGAGCCTATGCTTTTGGCCTACAGCCCCAGTGTTAGGTAAAAAACAGACCCTGTGGAGTGATTACACTGGCTTGTTTTGGGTCAACATAAACAGGGGTCTTCTAAATTGGATTCTCTATATAAAACATCCTTCTGATTGATGGTCCTCCTCACCTTCCTCTTGTTCAGCTCTAGTGCTTGTGTTCTGACAGCCAGTTCCTTTTCCAGAGCTGCCAGGGTGCTCTGTAGGACTCCCTCTTTTTCTTCCAATTTCTGCACAACCAGCAGCTGGGCATCCACCTAAAAGAGGGAGCAAAAAGTAGCCAGCGAGTGCTTCACTGCCCTGACACACAATTTTTTTTAAACCCACAAGTGCTGCCTTGTCAGGTTAAAGTTGCACCTCACCTGGGTTTTGAAAGCAAGAACTTGGTCAGCCAGCTCCTCCTTCTCCTCTTTCAGCAGCTTGTAGATCTGGTTAGATTTAATTCGCTCGCTCATCAGCTTAAAATTGGCATCGTCCTTCTCGCGCAACTGCTGCAACAGCCGGCTGTTCTGCTCCTGCATGTCTTCAAAGGCCTGGCCTGTTACATCCATCTCACTCAACAGGGCTTCCTCCTCCTGAAAAACACATGCGTCAGATATTAAAAACAGTGAAAAGAGTGACAGTCAGCTGTGCTGCTTCTGCCCTCCAGTTTATGAAACAGGCGGGGCTCGATTTCAACAGCAGTTTTCAGTCTTTAAGATAATGTGACAAGGACACGCAGGTTTGACCTCCAACAGTACCACTTCTAAATAACTGTAAAAGAATCACAAGGATTTAATTTTCCAAACTACTTTCTTACGACTCAAAGACATAAACAAAGATGCTTTTCTTTTTTCCCCTCCAGTTCTGAAAACCTGTGCATCCTTGATCAATGTGCCATCAAGAACGAGCAACTTGCTGAGCTCTTTTCATTTGGGGATGCCATCCTATCTTACATTAAACTTATAGTCACTCATCACTAGTTCATGATATCAAACTAGCACAGAATTTGGACATCCAACTCATTTTACATGGTCTACCACACACAACCTCTTTTGATCTGAAGTCGAATGAATCAAACTCCACTTTCTGTCAGTGTAAAGACATTTACCTACACAGTTAACCCATGAGATGTCTTAATATAAGAAAAAGTGCAATTTCTATAGATGGTGAAAAACAGAAACCTTTGTCTTTTAGCTGTTTATCTGTTACTACGTTGCTACTGTATGAATGGCTGAGGGTAGGTCTTAATTAATAAGAAAAGCTGTAAAAATTAAGAAAACAGTTAAAATTCCAAAAATGTATTTTCCAATACTTTCCAGGGGCTGGACTGGAGTCTTTGCCGGGCCGATTCTGGCCCCCGGGCCTCGTTTTTGACAGCCCCTGGTCTACAGCTCGGAAATGCTTCCCTTGTCGCCTTATTAATTT